AATTATTCACTGTTGTATCACAAGAAACCCATCCGCATTTCATTTCATCAGCCCCGCCCAGACAGATTGGATATTACTCACTGGAGATTCTACCTTCCTCCACGCCCTCTGAATCTAGGTTCCCTCTTGAAAGCTTGTAAGCCACTCACTTCTTGCCTTTGTAGCGCCCCCCACCCCCTTTGGGTAGCTGATGTCCAAGTTGCCCATCCCTGTCTACTCTGTGTATGGAGGGGGTGGGAATGATGGAATTCATCTTCTTGATAAAGCCTTTCCAGTCTCTCAGGGAGAAAGAAGCTCTAAGTAAATGAAAAGGAAAACCAAGCGTTGGGCCAGATGACTCTAATGGCTCTTTCTGCTTCAGAGTGTCTGGCTGTTCTTGTCTTTTTCACGGGGCGCAGTAGTCTTTATGTTCTCATCAATGACCCGCAATCAACTGCAGAGAAATAGGACTAACAGGGAAAGAGCTGGTTACTAATCAGCTTCCTTTTCTCTTTCAGTTTTATGCCTGTGAGATGGTGCTTGAAGAAGAAGGAATCTATGGAGGTGAGAAGAAATGAATGTGAGTGGAAAGGGAGAGGCAACAGATGGGAAGAAGGAAATCATTGTGTCCTGTCTGCTTCTTGTTGACCTAGCAAGATGAGAGAGACCCCTGAGAATGGGGCTGGGAGGAGGACCCCAGACTAGAACATTAGTGGGGGAGAATAAAAGGAATGCCAAGGCTTGTCGTTAGAAATGACCAACTGCTGTATTCTTGTTGTTAAGTGCTGTTCAGTTGGTTCTGACTCATAGTGGCCCTGTATCGATTTCTAAGGAGTGGCTGGTGGGTTTGAATCACTGACTTTGTGGTTAGTAGTCCCGTGCTCCACCCCATGACTCCTTATTCTTACCTTTCAAGATTCCCACAAGAAAGAATGTACCTTCTCTCTTCCATGTGTTCCTCACTCCATTCTCTCATGAAACACAAACCTGATCACAGTCCCCCTTGCTGAAAATGCTGCAGTGGCTCAGTATTAAGCCCAGTATTCTCAGCATGCCCCCCTACACCTTGTACAAGCTGCCCCTCTTCTATCTTTTTAGATGCATCATGTGTTCCTCCTTTCCTCTGACTTGCTAGCCACAGGGACTTTGTACGTGCTGTTCCTGCTCCCTGGTCCTATAACTTTTTGCCAACCCAAATCTTACTCAGATTTTAACCTTGTCGTCTGTTTACTGCCATCAAGTCTATTCTGATGGATGACAACACTGTATAGGGTTGCTGAAGAGGGGCTGATGGGTTTGAACTGCCAACCTTGTGGTTAGCAGCTCAGTGCGTACCCCACAGTGCCACACCAGGATCCCAATTCTAAGATTTAATGTTACTTTTTGTTGTTATTGTTAATGTTACTTATTTAAGGAAGCCTTTCCTTTATCCCAAGGAGCTCTAGTTGAGATTGTTGTTAATTTCCGTTGAGTCGCTTCTGACTCATAGCGACCCTATATAGGGTTTCTGAGGAGCAGCTGGTGGGTTTAAACCTGCTGTTCAAACTGACCTTGTAGTCCAGTGCATTATCCTACAGTGACGAGGACAGTTGAAAGTGGGCAGACATCTATAAGGTTTATTATGGGGTTTGTGCAACTTCCCGATCACAGAGCGTCTCATGCATGTTAAGTAACACAGGCCTGTCTGTGTGCTCATGGCTTATCTTACTTCTTGGGAGTACAGTGGTAATAAAGTCGTTTGTGTGATAAGACTGACTTAATTCATCTTTGTCTGCTCAATGTTTAGTCCCTGCATGTGCAGCCCCTCGCATCATTTTTACATGACTGTGGTGTCCCTTCCCTCTTAATGGGGAGCTCAGTGCCTTCTGCAGGGCCTGATGCTGTGTGTACCCACAGACGTGAGCTGTGATGAATGGGCCTTCTCCTTGCTGCCTCTTGATGTCGATTTGCTGAGTATGGAGCTACCAGAATTTTTCAGAGACTACTTCTTGGTGATTGCAGGGCCCTTGGGTCTTGGCCTCAAGGGATAAGGTGGGAGAAACATGGGGTCCAGTGGACTTGTAATATTAATCTAACCTTTGTCCAGTACATGGCATTTATCATGAGTAATAATGATTGATGATGGCCATAGGACTTCCTCTGGGACCAATCAAAATGATCTCTTAAGCATTCCCAATCCTGCCTCCTTGCTCCAGGGGTTTTAGGGCCAACAACTCCCAAGATGAGCCTGTTGGGTAGGTCTGTATCTTTGTGGCCTGTGTGGTCCCTGTAGGAGGGAGATCAGCGTTGGATCAACACTGTGGCGCATGCCTTGCACCTTCTCAGCACTCTCTACGGCTCCTTTCCTAACTGCTATGGACTTGGCAGGTGTGCTAAGGTAAGAACATTGGCAGTTTTGTTGCTTGGTCAGCCCATTTCACCTGTTCTGTGCCCACCAAGGACTGTTCATGAGCATCTGTGGAAACTCTTGCTTTTATCGTTCTTGAATAGTTTGTCAGAGAGGGAAATTTGTGTGATGAACAGGCAAAGGCCAAGGCCTCCTGGATGACTTCAACCCACTGTCATCCAATTGACTCTGACTCATAGTGACCCTTTACATGACCCTATATAGTGACCCTATACATACTGTGCAGGCTTTCCAAGTCTATAAAGCATTACTGTAGCAGACAGCCTCATCTTTATCCTAGGAAGTAGCTGGTGGGTTTAAACTGCTGACCTCGTGGTTAGCAGTCCCATGTTTAATGCACAGTATCACCAGCGCTCCTCTGATGTTGTTGTTAAGTGCCATTGAGTCAGTTCTGACTCATAGCGACCCTGTATAGGGTTTCCAAAGAGCAGCTGGTGAGTTTGAACCACCGACCTTGCAGTTCAAACTGACCTGTGGTTCAGCACGTTATCCCGCAGCGCCACACCAGGACAGCCTTCCTAAATCTCTCTTTACCTTTGGAGGAAGAGTAGTGCTGTTTCTTCATTGGTATGTGAGGGGAAGGTAAGCAGGTGCGAGTAGAACAGTGCTAGCAGTTAGCCCCCCTGTTGGGATCAAGAAGGATTACATGGAAGAGGGTTTGGCTTCTGTAGGCATTGGAATACAGTAGGGACCTGAACACAAGCTTGAGAATCTCTTGGGCCCTGGCAGATGTCACATGAATTATGGAGGACACTCGAGGAGGAGGAGGACGGTGAAACCAAGGGTCGGAAGGCAGAAATTGGACATATCTTTTTCCTGGACAGAGGTACAGTTATGCCTAGCACTCCCTTTGCCTTTGGACCCTAGGAGACATGGGAATGTAGGAAACGCAGTGGCAAAGTTAGGGCCTAAATTCAGGCTGTGAATCCCAACATTGACCAGCATTGACTGGGCCTTGTGGAAGGTGCTGGAGCTGATATTGAGCAAAGATGGGGAGAAGGCTGAGTCAGGGAGAGCCTTCATGGTCAGTCGTTTTGGTTTCAGATATGGACTTTGTGACGGCACTTTGCTCCCAAGTGGTTTATGAAGGCCTGGTGGACGACACCTTCCGCATCAAGTGTGGTAAGTGCCATTGTCCTCTGCGTCCTCACAGTGGGGTGAGGGGTGGAGCCCCCAGACTCACTCTGAGTGAACTGCTGCCTTCCAGATAGTATGGGAGACCTTTAATGGCAATTCAGGAAAAAGTAGGAGAAGCTAGACCTCATTGGAGATGCTAATAGTCATCCCTTCTGCTCTCAAAGGGAGTGTCGACTTTGGCCCAGAAGTCATGTCCTCTGACAGGAGCCTGAAGGTGCTGCTCAATGCTGAGGATAAGGTGAGGGTGTGGGTTCACCCAGGGGTGCTACTCAATGCTGAGGATAAGGTGAGGGTGTGGGTCCTCTCAGTGAATTTACTCAGGGGTGCTGCTAGGAGGCTCTGGATTTCAGCTCTAGGATGGGAGGCTGAGTCTATGGGAAATAGGTTACCCTATCAGTTAAAGTCCTGGTGTGGCGCTGTGGGTTAATGCGCCAGACTGCAAAGCCGTTTGAACTGCAAGGTTGGTGGTTCAGGCTCACCAGCTGCTCCTCAGAAATCCTATAAAGGGTTGCTATGGGTCAGAACTGATTCCACAGCACTTAACAACAACATCAGTGATAAGCCCACCTCAAAGCACATACCACAATCAAAGCCACTGTCTGTGAGTTGACTATGATTCCTCACTACCCCTTAAGACAGACTAGACCTGCTTCATAGGGTCTCGGAGACCGTAAGTCTTTACAGAAGCAGACAGCCTCCTTATCTTCCTCCCGAGGAGCAGCTGATGGGTTTGAATCACTGACCTTGCAGTTAGCCCAGTGCTTAACCCACTGTGCCACCAGGGCACCTTCCAAAGCACTCAGGAGATTCTTAATATCTGTTGTGTTATTGTTAAATGCTGTCGAGTCGTTGCGACTCATTGCAGCACTGTCCAGGGTTCCCGAGGAGCGTCTGGTGAATTTGAACCGCTGATCTTGTAATCCAGTACGTTATCCCCCAGCGCCTCTATTAACTGATTCCAGCTCAGCCTTCTTTGTTCTTCTGCTAGAGCAGCCGTACACTCTATACTATCCATATATGCTAGTGAGTCAGGACAGAATACTAAGGAAGGAGAAATGTTTGGGCTCTGGCATAGGAAGTTTTTCTTGTCTCGTTCCCCTCACAGGTCTTTAATGAGATTCGTAATGAGCACTTCTCCAATGTCTTTGGCTTCTTGAGCCAGAAGGCCCGGAACTTGCAGGCTCAGTATGATGTGAGACTCCAAGCTCTGCATCTTCCGTCTTGTCTCTTCACTGACTTCTCATGGCTGCTGCCCTTTGGTGCCCCTTCTGACACTATGGCAGTCTTCCTGTCTTGCCTCTTCGGTGGGTGGGAGCTCAGGGAGGGTGGTGGTGCTCGTGGGAGGACTTGACCTCATAGGGATTTCCTACAGCGCCGGAGAGGAATGGACATCAAGCAGATGAAGAACTTCGTGTCCCAGGAACTCAAGGGACTGAAACAGGAGCACCGCCTGCTGAGCCTCCGTAGGTTGTAGTTTGAGGAGATGGGGAGGGAAACGGAATCTGTCTCCCCCACTGGGACTGCTACAGAGGAACATTGCCTCCCAAGAGGAGATTCCCGCTCATCTGGAAATTATGACCTTATTTGGTCTAAAATGGGACAAAGTCCTTTAGAATTTGCCATAAAAGTTGTTCATTTTTCTGGAGACAAAAAAGGGGACACCTTCTAGAATCAGGAATGTGTCAGCTCCCTCTTTGTCCTGTCTGCAGATATTGGGGCCTGTGAGTCCATCATGAAGAAGAAAACCAAGCAGGATTTCCAGGAGCTAATCAAGACTGAACATGGTAACTGCCGGATACTTGCTGTACGTCTTATGCTTCTATGTGCATGGCTCCCGTGCCCCTAGCCAGCCCTTAAGAGATACTTGCTGGCTCTTTCCAGCTGAAACTCACTGTGTGGGCTGCTGGATCCTGCTAGAAATTTTGAGGTCCTTTAACCCACTCTGAGGATAGAGAAAGAGATGGGGACACAGATGCTTGTTAGCATAGATGGCAACAGCTGAGTGATCCCCAGTAACAGGCTCTCATCTGATCACTCAGCATTGCTCGAGGGGTTCAACATCCGGGAGAGCACCAGCTACATTGAGGAGCACATAGACCGGCAGGTGAGCCCGGAGGGGAGAAGGGAGGCTCTGGGGATGGTGTTTAGATTGTGGCCGGCCTCTAGCACAAGGAAGAGAAGGACATGCATCAGGACACTTGGATGCTCCTTGTATCTTTCTTCCTGTGCAGGTGTCACCAATAGAAAGCCTTCGCCTCATGTGCCTGTTGTCCATCACTGAGAATGGTGAGCAGCAGGGACTAAAGATTGAGAAACTGCCTCAGGGATAGAAGAAATAAGCTTGAAAGGCAGTGACAAGGATCTTAGCAAGCAGAACATTTTTAAGTAACGTCGTGGATGCTTTTCCTTGTAAAATAAAGCACTTTTAGTTTCCGGTGAAACATTACCTGGTCATAGTGTAGCTCACTGTCCCAGCCCTAAGCAGGACTACATTCAGGGCAGCCCAGAACAATGCCTGCGTACCTTAGGACTGCAGAGGCATAGGATTCAGCGGCACTTCTCTCATCATTGCACCAGGCAGGCCTCTCATCGTCAACAAGGCTTCTGAATGAAGATGCCGTCCAAGAGAAAGGGATAGTCAACTCATCTCAAGCATTTCTAAAGCCTAGATCTGCAGCCTGTGATGGCAGTTTGTTTTTACTGTTGAAGCCTTCTATTTGGCAGATGTTCTTTAAGGCTACAGTTGTTAAGTGCCATCAAGTCGCTTCTGACCCATAGTGACCATGTATAGGGTTTCCATGGAGCAGCTGGTGAGCTGAACCGCCGACCTTACAGCCCAAATGGCTTTGCAGTTAGCGCATTAACCTACAGCGCCACACCAGGACTCTAGCAACCCAGAAAATGTATTTTGTTTATTCTAAATCTCCTGTTGGAGTTGGAAGTCTATTTCTTCTTACCTCAGTGGAGAACCATTTGATACTGCACTTGTGAAACTTTTCCTAACCCTCAGTAGCTGTAAAGCCATTCCAAGTAGAATTGCCCTTTAGATAGAAAGGAATTCACAAGAAGTCGCTTGTCCCTCCTGCCCCTCTCACAGTTAGCAGTAGTTTCAGAGCCCCTTCCTCAGCACCTTATGACTCAGAGCTCTTCCCAGATTTCTCAGACCCAGGAGTTATCTTTAGGGAAGCAAGCTTAATTTGCAAATCAGTTTAGAGTAACATGAGACAAGGTTGACAACTGTTTCATCCTTCTTCCTAATTAAAGTCATTTGGGGTGAGAGGATTGTTTGATGCTAGCCTCTTTCTCATTCACCTGTCATATTCCTTCCCCTCAGGTTTGATCCCTAAGGATTATCGATCTCTGAAAACCCAGTATCTGCAGGTAAGGCCTGGAGAATATTTTCGAGGGAACTTGGAGGAAAGTCATTGAACATCCTTATTTATTTTTTTTTTTATCTTCTTATTGTGAATTGGGTGACGGTTTACAGAGCATATTACCAGTTTTACATTCAAGTCAATGGACACTTTTGAAAGAGGCAAATAAGAAATGACTCCTTTACTGTTGTCATCACCATAAATAAAGCCGTCTTCAAGGGACTAGGAACAGTCACCTTTCAAGAAACCAGTCATTTCCCTCTGTTCTCGTTTCCCTCCACCTCCTTTTCATGATGAGCAGTCAGTGCCGAGAGAAGTTAAACACTTCTGCCATGTTCAACGCACTGCTGGGGTCCTAGCCCAAGGTGTCTCCCTCTCATCTTAGTACCTTGGGAGCCACTGAAACCACTTTCCTTCAAGGTTTTGTTTGTTCAAGTCATACCTCATCTGTGAAATCTTCCCCGCTATCCATAGCTTTCTATATTCCTTAAGAATTTCAGACTATCATTTATTCTTCCTTCTCTGGTGTGTGGTTATTTCTGGCATGAAAACCTTGTCCAAAAGGAGTATAAGCTGTTTCTTTTTGTTTTTGTTTTTCCCTTCACTTTTTATTGTGAATTGGGTGAAGGTTACAGAACAGGTCAGTTTATCATTCAATAATCCATAACACATTTTGTTTCAATGGCACTGACTTCAGTCCCCACAATGTGACATCACTTTTATCCCACTTCCTCCTTGGGTTTCCTGTTTCCATTTCTTCTCCTTTCTTAACCCTTCTGAACTAACCCCTCCTTTTTAAACCGTTGATGGTGAATTGAGTTAAGGCCAACAGCTCATACACTTGGTGTCTGCAGTGATTGTCCCCTCAGTTCACAGTAGTTCCCTCTACTCACTTAACTCTTGCTCTATTCCCTTTGTCTCCTGCTACCTTCATCTCCCCTGTGCTAACCTCCCTCTTACATGTCACCTTCAATGCTTCCCTTTGTCATCTCAAGTGGGTGATTGTTCTAAGGTGTGCGGACCTCCCGCGTGTTACTGTTCCCTTTATAGAACTCTGACTATTGTTTGGCTGGAAATTGAGTCTCAAGAATGAGTTCTGGAAAGTGTGAGCTTTTCCAGCACCTAGACTGTCTCCCCTCTGTTGTCATCTGGCAGGGCTACACCCTTCATGGGTGCTCAGGAAAGAGCTGGGTTGTTTTTTCTTCAGAGCTATGGCCCTGAGCACTTGCTGACCTTCTCCAATCTGAGGCGAGCTGGTCTTCTCACGGAACAGGCCCCTGGAGACGCCCTCACAGCAATGGAGAGCAAAGTGAGCAAGCTGGTGACGGACAAGGCTGCAGGTGAGCTAGGAGCCCAGGTACCTTTCCCTGCTGCTGGTCCCTCTTTCTCACCTGGGTGATGAGGGCATGAGCTGGGGGGAAAGAGTGTGATTTCATACTGACATTACTACTTCTGCTAATGACAGCCATTTCTACTCGCTAACACTCACTAAGTACCTCAGTCCCCTAGAGAAGTGTTCATCTCATCCTCACAGACTCTCTAAGGCTAGATTTATTGTCCCTACTTTACAGATGAGGAAATTAAGGCTTATAGAAGTTGTCTTCGGTCCCTCGAGTAGAAATCAAGTCAGTTTGACTCCAAAACCCATATACTTAACCAATAAATGAGGGTTAGCCTAGAGATTGCATTTCATAAGCAACTATCCAGTAGAAGGAAAAAGGCTATGGGTAGGGAGAAGGGTGGTGGGAGTCTTGATCAGTTCCAGGGAATTGTGGTTAAAGGCTCTGTGGGGTCTTCAGATGGGAGGTCCTGCTACTTGGGTAGAGGTTGCCCTGGCTGGCATTCCCCTAAATGGCATTGTCTGCGGCAGTGTCATATAGCTGTCAGCCTGAGATGAGACCTAGCACAGATTTCTTCCCTAGGAAAGATTACTGACGCCTTCAGTTCTCTGGCCAAGAGGAGCAATTTTCGTGCTATCAGCAAAAAGCTGAATTTGGTATGTGGGACAGGGATGAACAGGGAGGCCGTGGGTTCAGTGCTTTGTGAAGAACTTTGAATCCACAAAAAGCTTCTTGTCATTTTGTGTTTCTGTAAAGATCCTTTGTGTGGTATCAATGTGGTATAGACTTACCTTAATCATGAGACAAGGCCCAAAGATTCATTCATCTAATAGACATCAAAGGGCCCGCCATCAGTGCCTGAGGATGTACTAAGCGCTGCTTCCGTATATGTCCCATGTGACTGAAGGGTTCAGGAGCAGGAAGGCTTCCCTCCACCTCCTTCATGGGGACCAAGGACCATATATTTAAGGGAATAATGGCAGGCACAAAATTCAAGCTTTAATTTCTGGTTCTGGATTTTTTTTCCCAGGTTCTCCCTTTAGTTGGAACAAGAATGCTTCTTTTGGCTGTGCCCCCTTTATGTGACTCTTAAAAGATGAGAGGGCCGAGTTCTCACTTGCCTAATGTAGAACCTTTGTCTTTTAGATCCCACGTGTGGACGGCGAGTATGACCTGAAAGTGCCACGGGACATGGCCTATGTCTTTAGTGGTGCTTACGTGCCCCTGAGCTGTCGAATCATTGAGCAGGTGAGGAAGAGAGACTCTAGCTCTCAACTTTGTGTCATTCCTTCTGCCTGCCTTTTAAGGACCCCTAGTGGCGCTGTGGATTAAATGTTAGGCTGCTAACTACAAAGTCAGCAGTTCAAACCCACCAGCCATTCTGTGGGGGAAAAGATGAGACTGCTCCCGTAAAGATTTAGTCTTAGAAACCCTAGATAGCGTCACTGTGAGTCAGAATCCACTCAATAGCACTGGGTTTGATGGGTCATTCTTTGGTCCCTGTGAAGCTGGCATACAGTAGCTAACAAGAAGCATGACAGTTTGGTGGCTGTATCCTTTCTTTCCTAAATCTAGCGCTGTCTCTAGACGTGAAACTAGTGCTTGCATCTTCCCAGGTGCTGGAGCGGCGAAGCTGGCAGGGCCTTGATGAGGTGGTACGGCTCCTTACCTGCAGTGAGTTTGCATTCACAGGTATGTGACATGGACAGGTGAAGGCAGGTGGTCATGAGAGATGGGCCGGGTACAGCACCCAGTACGAGCAGGTGTGTGGAGACTTGTATGTGGTCTGATCCTCACAGACATAACCAAGGAAGACAAGGCTTCCAGCGAATCCCTGCGCCTCATCCTAGTGGTGTTCTTGGGTGGTTGCACATTCTCTGAGCTCTCAGCCCTTCGGTTCCTGGGCAGAGAGAAAGGTAAGAAACCAGGACAGGTGAGAACAGGCCTGTATGGCATCCGGGGGAGTGAGGGCACAGGAAGGCTTTTTTCCTGGCCCCTGGGTACCACTTGTCATGGCCTTGCTATTGGGATGCTGTAGCAGGGAGCCCAGTTCTGCTGGCTTGGCAAGTTGTACCCAAGAGCATGGAGCTCCCGATGCCTCCATGTATGTCAGTTAGCTCTCTGGCCTGGCCGAGGACTGGAGCTGCAAGGGCCATAGTTACAGGTGGAGACTGGAGATGGGCTGCTTGTCACATACGCTGCTGCTCTGACTCCCTAGGGTACAGGTTCATTTTTCTGACAACGGCGATGACAAACAGCGCTCGCCTGATGGAGGCCATGAGTGAGTGAAAGCCTGACGTTTCCGGCACTGGAGTCTTCTCTGTCAGCTCCCAGCTAATAACAAGTGTCCTCCAGCTCCCCTGCTGAGTCTGGGACTTATTGTGATTTAAAGAGCATCTTTGAGGAATGAGGTCTCTTCCTACACCCAGAGATTGTTCTCTTGTGTTTATGGAGTATAGGTCCTGCTGATAAGTTAACAAAAAGGAAAGGAAAATGAGCCTTTGCTAATTTCTGTTTGAATATCATTGTAAATAAAGCCTATCTGTACACTCTAGTGTTATGTATGTATAGTTCTGGACAATTGCACTTTCTTTTAATTAGGGAAACCATAGTGGAGCATTACATGGGGTTTCTATGCTCTTGGCTTGGTCTGCCTGCAAACATGGACGAATACACTATGGTCCTGGATAGGAAGATTTAATATTGTGAAAATGTCAATACTACCCAAGACAATTCATAAATATAATGCAATCCCGATCCAGATTCCATAGATCAATACAATCCCAATCTAATTTCCAAGTTCTTCTTTAAAGATAGAGAAAAACTAATCATTAACTTTATATAGAAAGGAAAGATACCCCAGATAAGCGAAGTATTACTAAATAAGTATTAATAACAAAATAGGAGGCCTCTGATTTCCAGATCATAAAACCTACATAGCCACAGTTGTCAAAACAGCCTGGTACAGGCACAAATAAAGACACAAAGGTCAATGGAACAGAATTGAAAACCCAGAAGTAAATCCATTCACCTACTTGTAAAAACAACATAGAAACTTGTTTTACAAGTTCTCTTTATTGTTCAATCTCTTGTTTGCAAGGCTGGCGGCTGAATGACAAGGTAGGTCTGTTTTCTGATGTCTACGTGTCAGTTGGGAGCCCTGGTGTGGCTCCATGGGTTAATGCACTGGACTGCAAAGTCTGTTTGAACCACAAGATCAGTGGTTCAAGCTCACCAGCCACTCCTTGGAAACCCTATGCAGGATCACTCTGGGTTGGAACTGACTCAACAGCACTTAACAACAACAACATGTGTCAGTTATCCCTCTGAGCCTCTTCAGCGTAGGGATAATGGCTCCACCCCGGAATACTATTCCCTATAATAAGTGTTAAGGGGATGGCAGAATTGAAAATGAAAGGACAGGTAGCTGAGCACCTATGACAGGAAAGCTGTTTTGTTGTTGTTGTTAAGTGCTGTCAAGTCAGTTCCGTCCCACAGCGACCCTGTATAGGGTTTCTGAGGAGCCGCTGGTAAGGAAAGTTGTAGAGAGTAGGACATTTTATTATTAAACATGTAAGAGGACCTTGTCATGGATTGAGTTACGTCCCGTCCCCCTAGATTCTGTTTCAAGCTTGCTGGGTCATGCTTCTAAATGGTCTGGCAGTTATGTAATGATGTCATCATCCCAATTGATGTGATCTGATGTCAGCCAATCAGTGTAAGGCGATCAGAATGGCCTGTAACATCCTTTCTCAGGGCATCTGAGTGTTTCTGTAAAGCAAGCAAAGGAAATGCTCCTTGTGAGTTTTTCATATGCTGTGGGTTAATACGCCAGGCTGCAAAGCTGTTTGAACTGCAGGTCGGCAGTTCAAACTCACCAGCTGCTCCTTGGAAACCCTATACAGGGTCACTGTGGGTTGGAATTGACTTGAAGACACTTAAAAAAAAAAAATCTTCGTAGTATGCATTTCCAGACTAAGGCTAGTAAGAAAAGAACAGTAATCACTACAGTTATTCCAGTAATAATAGAAAATCCCCAATTATGAAACCAATTCTTAGGGTTAAATTCCTGAATGGCTTGAAGAAATGTTTCGGCTGCATTAGAAGCATGATTCATTTATATATGCTTTATAAAGGTATGAGTCATCTGAGCTTCTATAGACATATTACCTCTAAACCCATATAAATGACTTTTTACTTTTGCCACTCTATCTCACTACAATTCTATTCTGCTGGAGTCACACAGAAATCACTGTTTTGCCAATCACATTTCAGCCAATTCTTATATTCTACAATTTGTTCTCCTAGCCATTCTACAGATTGTTGCAATTCATATACTTGAGAAAAACTTTCTCTATGTATTTTATCTGTTGACACCATAATTGATAGGCATTTTGCTGCCAATATTACACAAATTCAGCAATTTGAATACTTTGACTTAAAGCCACCCCGGCCACCGTTGCAACCGTGACAGTAGCTATAAGTCCAAGAATAAGAGCTATAGGGGTTACAATAAACCATTTTGTTCTATTTAGTACTTTACTTAACATTTTCATTAATACGTGTATTTCTGCACTTTGTTCCCAAGGCCTAGTTAGATTGACAGGGAGCCAAACTCCTAATCGAGCTTTTAACAAGATAATGGACATTTTTGTTAAAGAGCATATGATTCAAACAAGTATACAGTTTACAGGAATGACATGTCAGACTTTCGTCAGTTGCACTGATTTCTTTTGTGCCTATACCTATGACATAAGGTAATCGAACACAGACTTGTAAATATCTTGTTTCATTTACTTTGAATTCATAGATGGCCTCACTATGACTCATTCCAGAAAATTTCCCAGTGAATCTTTTGTAAGGTCGTAAGGCAAAAGGTAGTTTCCACAAGTCCCATTGTTCAGGTCCTGAAACAGGATGAATCATCTGTGGTCAAGGGGGTGCTGTTCAACCCTCGTGCCAAGCCATTAATTGTGATGTCTGAGTCCAGATTACACCCTTAGAAACATTCCAGGGAGAATCAGTGATTAAGTCACAAGTAACAGGCTTTTCTTCCAATGAACAGTTTGTCAAGAATTTTCCATGGGGTCCCCAATCAATGGTAGTGACTGTATCATTCTTTAATACTTAAACATGTTCTCCTCTGCATTTTGACCATTCTAATCTTCACGGCTAGCTGTTTGAACTGCCAGTGTCGGCAGTTCAAGCTCACCAGCCATTCCTTGGAAACCCTATACAGGGTCCCTGTGGGTCTTAACAACAACAACAACAATCTTCATGGCTGCCAGTGTTGGAATTAGCACCTCAGGAGACTACAACAGGTTCATCATGAAACCTGACGCCTTCTCCTCCTCTAGGCTTGCCATATTGGGGTCATATTTTTCTCGCAGGAATCCATATTGGTGGTTTTCCATCACCTGGGGAAACACAACAAAAACCTTGCCCCATGTTTATTAATTTTCCTTTTTTTCCATATACCATCATCATTTTTCCATCAAATGTAGTTGTAAGGTAAAGGCTTATTTTCTGTATTGTGTTTAAAGTGCTTTTCTCCAGTTGTAGAGCCTTCTGGTGACGTAAACCGGAAAAAATTAAGAGTTATTAATGCCAGGTGTAACTGCTTCTCAAGGGAGAGGAGGCGCTTCCCCCTTTTTGTTTTTGTAATTGGAGTTTTAATGTGCGATTAGCACGTTTAACAATTGCTTGTCCTTGAGGACAAGCTTGCTTGTCCTTGTAAAGTATACATGTAATGTGTTGAATGTTCCGTTTCTTTAAAAATAGAGCAAGCTTTCTAGAAGCTTGTTATCTGTTTTAATACAGGCGATGAGGATGGTTTTAAAGAAGAAGTAACAATTGCGAGATTAACTGAACTATATAGGCTGAGTCAGCTACAACATTTAGTGGTGTAGAAACATCCTGTAATAAAGTTATTAAGGTAAAAAGTTCTGCCTGCTGTGTAGAAGTGAAAGAGCTGGTAATGACCCTTTCCATGGGACCCCAATAAGCTGCTTTTCCTTTACCTTTTCCAAAGCCAGCCACAAAATATGTATCTGCTCCTGTATTAGAAATTACATACGGTACATATATTTTTTAAAAAATCCCAAAGTTTAGATTGAGCATAATGAATTGAAATGATTTCTTGACATTCAGCAACTGCAATTGAAACCAGTCCCTCGATTTTTGGAAACTTAAATTTGCCATTGCTTGTGCAAGTAAACTCGCTCTATAGGTCTCTGTTCCAATTCCTCTACACAATTTCACATAATCAAATAGGTTACCAGCCTCCCTTTAAGGTTTAATTGCTAACTGACAATCTTGATTTGCATTATCATAAGTTAATGTTCTAAGAAGAGTTTCAGCTGCCACGGTATTGCTGCTAGATCTAGAGACAGACTCTTGAAGGCGAGCTATAAAATCAGGATAAGGCTCACATGCACCTTGGCGGGTGTTATTGAAGGTGGGGTCTTTTTGCCCAGCAGGAACCACTTTCTCCCATGCTCTTTTATAAATTAAATCCATTTGGTCTACTTTAGCATCCTCATACCATGCTTGTGCCTCTGTGTTAGCCCAATCTCCAGATCCAATTAAGTGGCCATCAATTATATTTAAAGGTGGATTTTGAGCTAACATTTTTTCTAGCTTGCTACTCTGCTCCCTCAGACCACTGTGATCTTTATTGCAATTAATCTCTTGGATTTAGAAGTTTTAGCCAGAAGTTGCCAATCAACAGGAATTAACCTGTAAATTTCAGTAATCATTTGCAATAATTTGATGGTGAAAGGAGCTTGCAGCCTATAATTTGATACTGCTGTTTTTAATTCCTTTAATAATTTAAAATTAAAATGTTCATAATATATTACATTCTTCCCTTGTTCTTTGATAAACAGGAAAAACTAATAGAGCATCCATGTCCCCTTACTTCTTGTTGTTATGTGCTGTGGAGTTGATTCCAACTCATAGCGACCCTGTACAGGCTTGCCAAGGCTGTAAATCTTTACAGGAGCAGAAAGCCTCATCTTTCTACTCACTATGAGTCGTAACTGACTCCACGGTACTTAACAACGACATAGTAGATAATGCTTGTGAAGGGCCTCGAGAAAAGCCTCACTAGGGGCCATGGGGAATGGTGAAGGTGGAAGATCAGGAGAATAGTGTGCTGTTTCCCAAGAGATCCATTATCTTTACGATGCTTATTTTGCTCTGAAGTTTGCAATGGCTCCAGAATCAAGTTAACTAGAGACCAAGAGGTCCAAATTTCAGCCGGAATATTTTCTCCTTGCCTATGATTCCTTTTAAAATTTTCATTT